AGGAAATATCACGTGTGATGTTGCAAACGCCTCTACCACGAGTTGGATGCAAGAGAATAAGGAGCTGGTGTTCATAATGGAGAACGATGAAACTTTGGAGTCGGCTGAGGAAGTGGAATGGAGCGGAGGTTTTGCCGCTAACAACGACTCTGACGCATGGGTTGTTATTCAAGATAATTGGGAAGTCGTTGATAAGCACGGTGAGAAGGTGCGAACCTTTGCCGACGTGCTTCGGACGATGCCTAATTCGAAGAAAACAAAAGCAATGTCAAGTCTAAACTCGCAAGGGAGCACACGTCTGGATCCAGCCACAAAAGCAATTTAAAAAAAGATGCGGAGAACGATATCGCTATGCTTTCTCACGACGGTATCAGGTTTAGTAAATCGTTTAACAGAAAAGCGTCTGAATTATGTATTCGCTGAACTCATAAATCTGACATTTATATAATAAATTCTCAAAACTATATATATAAGGTGTCATGTTAGAAGTAATTTATATCTATGCACCTAATTCCAAAGGCTTAAACAGTTTTTCGACGAATGTACCCGCTTGAGCTGAACGCTGGTTTGCAGACATAACGTCGACCAATGGAGCGAAACATACCCTTTTTGACGATAAGATATCCCGTGATAGTCAGAAGTACGAACGCTGCCATAACACCGTCGCGCACACGTGTTCTGACGGGCAAATTCGAGCGTACGCTCATCGAAACACAAACGATTGCGAGTGTGGCAAGTGCTGCCTCTAGCATCATATTCAGGAAACTGTGCTGCTGCTGAAATGTGAAAGGTGACTCATCCCGCTTATCTGGTGTAAAGTTCCCCACAAGCAGGTCAAATGAGTCTTGGCGAATTCCATCTGAGAAGTTGTTAAGATAATAGCGAGTGACCGAGTTCACGCCATCTTGTAAGGCCCCCGCGATTGTTCGTCGCCCTGTGCGCGTGAAGTCGGTCTTAAGCGCTCCTGTACCTGCGTACATTCTGCTTACGTAGTCTGCGTTGTCAGCCCATGCATTCTTGAAAACAACCTCGAAATTCTTGTAAGGCGAATCTAGCACATCATATCCCTTGTCGCTTCCAACAGTTTGAATTGGGTAAAGGTGCAGCGCCGTAAGTACTGCACGCCGAGCAAAGAGACTCATTACGACGTTTGTACGATCCAGGTTGTCCATGCAATTGACGCGAAAAACGCCGCGTTGACGTGATATAAGCCGTCCTTCACCGTCACACTCAAACCATTTGTACTGCGCGAACTGTTCCTCTACCTCACTTAAAAGTTTGGTAAGATTATGCCATGCCATCTTGCGGCATTCGTGATGAAAATCAAACCAAATATATGCAACAGGCTCAGCAAAAAGCTGAGAGTTTGACGTAGGCACAGATGGCGTCGTAATATTTAAAGGTGGATGCAGACCCACATTGAGCGATGAAGATGTTGGTTGTGAAGAAAAGCCTAGCGACCCAGATGTCTTGTCATTGCTGCTGGCCGTGGATGCACTGGTTGGAGAACCCGCAGCAGAACCTCCTGCAATCGGTGTACCAACTTGGGAAGATGATGTGGAGGGCAGTGAGAGCGTCATAGCCTTATGTTGACGAGGAGACAAGGCCTGAAGCGCGGTAGACGCCGGCATTTGCGGTGCCAACGATGATCCAGCAGAATGTATTCCATCGCCACCCTTTGATAATTGATTGTATTTCTTAGCGTATTTGTTAAACGCCGATCCAAGCTGAGCCTGATCGCGCACCGTCGCGCTCTTTCCGGTCTTATCGATAAGATTCACGCACGTAACGTGCCCGTAACGCTGGATAAGGTTATCCATGTGAGCGCGAAACGCCAACTCGTTCCAGTCAACGACGCTTTCATGACCAGAAAACGCGTATCGTGTACGTGGCATGTACTTGAGCGTGACCAATTGATCCCAGTATAACGGAATGCTTCCCCGCACCTGCACGTATGAGCACATGGCTCTAGATGGTTTTATCAGTAACATCTCCGTTTCGGCGAAATTCGCAACACATCCATCTTTGTCGACACCTCGCACATTAAATCGAGTACCAACACGACGCCAGCTCCTTCGTGTGAAGAAGAGAATGTCGCAGCGCTGGCCATTTACATCACACTTCTTTATGACCTTGATGAACCCCGAGATTACGGGCACGATCCAGTCGCAAAGCTCCATCTCGATAAACTTTGCCAGGACAGGTTTGTTCCAAAAAAAATCTTCCTCCGCACGCGCATACAATGCCGATTGACGTTGAGCCACTGGGGCCGAGGCCCGTTTCTGAGCTGACAACGTCAGGTCCAGATCATAACTAAAGTAAAACGTGCGTGACGCTATTGCCGATGTGATCATTTGGGAATACAACCGTTCGTCCAGTTTCTCACGATTACTAGCGTGCTTAAAAAAGCTTTGATGTGCCGCGGCATTAACAGGCAGCAGTCTCAGCTCCAAAATACAATAAATCTTTTCACTGTTTGGTCCTGATCCTACAACGCGTGAATCCGTCACAACCGCTAAGTAAGGCCCGCTTAGTAGCGTGTATATGCCGTAGACAGCGTGTATGGGTACAATAGCCGCGTCCTCGCTGAGCTGAACTCTGCTGTCGGCTAGTTGCTCGATATCCACATTGCCACTTGTCGAGCTTGCAGTGAGACGGAGCCATGGACCAGCTCCTTCGCGGCAGTCCTCTAATAGCAACTCTGCCCGCTCCGTATAGACCTTAAACATGCGTCAAGCGAGACACAGCCCTCTTTTTTCGTCGTCAAACAGTATTGCGTGTTATACGATGGAGGGAGACGAAACGAATCTGGATGGATTTTTATAAACGCGTTTTTTGTTCCGAACAAATGTGCGATAGAATCCGACACTTCCTATTTTTATGCTTTAGACTTTAGCGTTCATCACGCTGTTTACGACAACGATCCTGATACGAGAATAACTTCTGGAAAATGAAGTGGTATACATACATGTCAAATGATTGTCCTTCGGACTTAACGCGGAGCAGAAAGGTACGGATGGGGTAGCCTAGTGATAAAGTACTGTGGTAAAGTACGGTTTTGCCGAGCACCTTGCAAAGAGGAAGCCTCATATGAAAGCGTTTGCGTTAACAAACGGACTGAGGTTGGGTTCGTACGCTCCAAGCTAGGAGCAAAAATGAGAATCGCTTATGTAATATTGAGTGACATACATTTCGAAACAATTTTGTTACGACAATAGTAACCATCCCAATCTCTTAGCAGAAATGATGTTGTTCATTGATATGCGGCTAGCATCCTACAAGTACCATGGACATCTCTTTACAGAAACCCTTCCAACATTATCAAATATTAATATTTCGGTAAAGGAGTTTTTCAAAAAGCAATTTGAGATTTGTACAATATATTGAGTTTTTAAAAGGTGTATGGCGTAAGTACACCAAATTACTGTTGATACTTCCCCACTGCGATGAAAACCACACTGATGTTAACTCTTCTTTTGTCGCCTGATTGATTTGCGAACTTATGCGAGCAACCTCTGCAATTGAGGTATAACTCAAGTCTGAGCTCTTTACTGTGCCTGCTCCTCAGAAAATTCTCGTACCCAAAGTCCGCTTTTGTACACTCGATCAAATGGTTCAACGAGCCTGCGCAAAAGGTGCACTAACTTCCAACACTTAAAAAGCAATTCTCGTAAGGTATCGAGGAGCTATTCGACGAAAATGACTGCAGTATATCTCCGAGTCTTGAAAGAATATTTTCATCGTCATTCGAAGAGTCGTTCATTGAGAAAAAAGTACTCAGTGCGATCAGTCTCCCATCTGCACGATTTACATACTCCGTGTCCTTCTTAAACGGTGTCGCGATGCCCCACCGTAGATACCACGACGATGTTCAGCTCGTTAGTGACGAGCTGGGCCTGTCTCAGTTAGACCAACTTGCTGAAGTACAAGCTTTGTTCAAGCCGACTCTTGCCCAAATTATCATGTCAAAATCACAAATCTAGAAATGCTCGAGGTTGCTCGGCGCATTATGGCGAGGCCATATTACCAAAAAGAAACATGCGCGAAGATTCGCTCCGCGAGCGCTTTCTAAGCCAACACGTCATATTAAAGGTAAAACTCATCAAAATCTCGGTCGCCACCAACTAGTGAGATGCGCGCTGCGACAGGTGACCATGTCCGATCACTGTGGGTAAAGGCCGAGGCGTAAGCTGCCACAGCACCCGGTTAATCTTGCTGAAGTAGTATCTCAAACTCTTACGAGTATCTCGAACGAGAATACCTCTTCGATTTTACCAGATACTGTAAAAGCTCGGGTGTCAGACAGACGATTCAAGCAAATCTGAAATATTTCAACATCATCAAGCGGTACCAGCATAGGTCGATCCTCCCACGGTTGGCTCTCGCAAGCGCTTTCAGTTTTGAAAAATGTCGACATCTCTAAGATTCTTGGCGTGCGTTGGAGATCAAGGTGAACAGGTTATGTCACTACAACTTTACAATGATCCAGCGGCATCTAACCGTCTGGTGGTAAAGCTGTGTAGACTACGCACGCACCTATTTCGACGATAAATTCCTTCATAGTCGGGCAGAGTACGAGAAGATAAACTCGTATGCTACGACAAACAGTCTGCTTTCGCGTGCTCTTTGACCTTCTGCTTTGCACTGCCTGTCTTTAGACATCCTTAGCTTTTTAAAACCGCTTCTCTGCTTCGAAGGATTGAATAGTTAAGCCACGGAGGATCGTGGAGACGCTACTCCTTCTGCAAACGCGATTTCTCCTTAAAACCGCGCGCGGTCCGGTATAGTGCGGTGCTTGTAGACTACAGACATTACATGTGAAGAGTGTTCAATTTCATTCGATAAAACCCCACTAACTTCTGGCGTCAACTTGCTAGATTTGTTCGTCTTCTGCAGCGGCTCACACTGGAAACACCGTTGTTCATTCCTGATGATGAAAGATGAAGATCCACGATAGTTAACCGCTTTTGTTTATCTCCCCTTGAGACGGCAGCCCATTGTCAATTCGGCTTTCCGGGCTTTGATTAAGGCACTCAACAACATTGATGATCTTATTCGGACAAATCGATGTCCGCATCAGAGCTATTGCAGATTCACACCGCGCTAAAAGCGCTTTTGCTTCCTTGCAGAGGTGAATTCATAACTCACGAAAGCGCAATCAGGTGAACGCGCGGGGCAGTTAACATTCTTAACAGTCAGTTGACACCTGAAATGTGGCATTTAAGCCACTTCTTTCTTAAGATGAGATTAATCTCGATCCAGCTCCAGGATGAGTTAATTATGCACGCTTTCGAGAATTTCAACTTTTACTCGAAAGCTCAGCAAAAAACTTCGGTCCTGTTATTAACGTCTTCATTGCTATAGCGTCCGTACTTGCCACTTTAGTGCCGTTAAATACGATCTTCACTTTTCGACCATAAAGTCTAGACGCTAGTCGCGAGTCCTGAAATTATACGACGCTCTAAATCTATTCGATCTTGCACAGCTTCACAAAATCCAAAGCTTTGATGTTCTTAGCCAAAACTCCTGGATGGTGAGCCCATCTCTATAGCAACTATTAGGCTAGCCCTCGTCAAACACGATCTCCTTGAGATACGATAGAGACCGGAAAATTTTCTGTACGCTTCCAAGCTCCAAATCCCCCACGTCCGCGACATTCCAGCTTGGTGATTACAAGTGCGATACGTTTTCGCAATTATTGCTATCGCAATGCCGTGATCATATCAGGGATTAAGATAGATAAATGATTGCGATCTTATTGGATTGTCCTGAAATCAGCTATTTAAATATTACATGTTCCATCCTCGCAGAGGATACAGTCTTTGCATGACTCGGCCGTGGAATTGGTCACAAGTCCTCAAGTGCAACGGGATGCCGTGCACTTTGCACAGCAGAAGATCTGACTCTCGGATCACGCGTTAACAAATGCAGAAGTTAATAAACCTGGGCTGGGGCTTCACATCAACAAGCAGAGTTGTCCTCTTTAGGTTGAATTTGGCTGGCCACGACACCTAAAAGGAGTTAGACATTTCCTAGCGAGCGTTACTCGGAAGACTATGCACGAAAGTCCGGTCCTTTGAACCCCTTGAGCAAGAGCTAAGGGGCACCGAGAAAGCCACTATTACAAATGAAAACATCCGCGAGTACCGCATTCCTCAGCCGCTTAATGATATCTCTCTCCTGCCTAAGCATATTTGATGCCCATCGCTTCGGGCACCATCGTGGAGCTTTCGGTTCCACCAGCTCGGAGCACAAACGTTGTTCCTTAAACACAATGCGACAACCACCTTTCCATTGAGAGCGGTTAAATGGGCGCAGAAGGTCTCTGCAGCGGGGCTACCGTAGCTCTTTGCTTAAAGGAAACTAAGCTAAGGTCACGGACCTTGCGCTTTTTCTAATAATCAGTATGAGTGCAGCAGATCGCAATCCGCTGCCTCCAAAAGTACTGAAAAATTTAACCATGGTAAAGGAAATCTTCTGTATTTAATCGTTTTAGTTGCGGCAGAGCCGCCAATATTTAAAACCAAGTTTCCTAATTACTATAGTAATACCTAATTAATATAGCAAAACCTACTTATGATAGTAATATGCATTACTACTGGCAATTCTGCCACGTGGTGGCTTCTTGGATAGGTGTAGCCAAACCACTGTGTGACTATACTAAATTGTGTAATGAACACCTATGTACGGTCGCACCATCTTATGCGACCCGCCTTTTCATACAGGGTAACGTGTAACCCTGTTCCTGTCTCAGTGCGACCTGCACCCGTTTAAATGTCCTCTTTGGAGTTGTTATTGGTTACCGCGTGTGAATGATGGTCTGACGCCGATACGGCGATTCGTGTATAGTCTGTCAATTTCTCCTCTCTTGCTTATGGATGAAACCTAGGGGTGCATCGAGTACGTCTTTTTGGCGGTGCGAAGCCTCGCAACGTACGTTGTCTCAATTTTTGTCATAATATAAATGCCCCTTCCGCAGAGCTCCTTCATGTTATTGTCCATTTGCGTGGGGCTCCTGGCTTGGACATTTAAAGCGGTACTGTAGCTTCGGTATGAATATGACAGAATGCATGACCAGCTTGAATCCCCTCTGTCAATGTGGACTAATTCCTTTATTACTGTACGCTTAACATTGTCGCCTCACAGTGCGCGATTAAGGCCCCGACCGACGCCCTGTTGGTGCGCTCCATATGCACCTCACTAGCACATTATCACAACTGGTAATCATCCCCAGACGATCGGCACCGCAGGAGACGCCAATCTTCCCCTACCTCGGACCAAAAACACTTCTCATGCGTGTCTAGTTATATCGGAGACAAGTAACATAACAACTCGTATTCTACCCTCGCATCGTTTCGAGACTCGGGCGTAGTATTGACTCTAGTGCTACCAAATGCGACCGAGTTGCCCTACACGTTATGTAGAGGCAGTCTTAAATCAAAGACTCCGCGTTACCAAATACAAAGAGCATGCTTCACCCGGTTTGAACCAGCCCACACAAATTACTGCCGTGGATCTTGTCAAGAGGTAGCCTACATTCAGGAGCTCGCATCAACAAGCAAACAGAGGTTGAGATGTACGCTCCAATCAAGAGCAGAACCCAGCGCCTGCAAAGCGATTAGTTCCCTGGCTTGATTTGCAAGTCTTGGAATCATAAATATGTTATACTCATCCTATTTAATCTGATACTGATCATATAGATTCTACTATTTCCAATAATAGTACTTTTCTTGTTGCTTGACAATTGTACCACGGAATCCTCCATAATGGAGACTCAATATTTTTATAAAGCCCATACATTGATACTTACAATTACACAATAGAGTAATGGGAATTTCGTGCAATTTCGTGCAATTCCCATTACTCTATTGTGTAATTGTAAGTATCAATGTATGGGCTTTACAATATTGTACAATTGCACGAAATTCCGAAATATTGTACAACACTTTGTACTGTCAAATTGTGTTCACGTTACAATCAATGTCCGGAACACCAAACATTAACCCTAATCAGGTGCAAGGCCCCACAAGCTTAAAGATGTGGTTACAAAGGAACCATCAATGTCAAAAGAAGTCCCAAATACGAATCCACTTACATGTTCTAAGCAAACTTGTCTCGCGGTTTGAGTGGCCAAAATTAACGTATTGGAAATCTCATCAATCATCATACCCACAGGCAATTACAAGTATTTTGCCCACTCACTGGATTTCGCGTCATTTACAGCAGCAAATCGTTTGTTGTCGTTCTAGCGAAGTCATCGGTAGGTGACCAATCGACGCATATTAACATCACCAAGGGCTGCTGATATACTTTGTTAGGTGTCGTGAGCAGTCATCACATAACGATAGCTTGTGCATGTTCTTATGTACTGAAATGTCTAGTATATCTAAAGGCTTCATGTTTTCATAATCTTTTTCGTTGAGTCAGAATTCCACTCAGATCTGTTGCGCCTTCTGCACACTTAGGTGGCCTAAGTGTATATCTAATTATTGTACACTGTCGCAGTCGAAGTCGAAGCACTACGTCTGTTTACATTTTTCTTAAAAAGGTCTACTGGCTCAAAATACGTTCTGACCAGGTGTTTGTACAAAGAATAGACACCAGATACCAGAAAAATGTTGGCAAATTTGCAACCTATGGCGACCATTCATAAAATCATAAATCATTTGCAAAAAATATGAGTGAAGATGAGTTTGTGGTATTGCTGGAGCATGCTGGTATCCTTGAGACCTCAGATGAGAATGATATGGAATTTATGGAGGAAGCAGTGCTTTTCGATTGGTTAGAGCGTGACGGCGTGCCGCTCTTCACCACACAGATGACGTTACCCAAGCGCGATCAAAGCGATGATCTTGTCTTAGACGGCAATGCGTCGGTGGCTCCAACGGCCACCGCCACTGCCACAACGTTAGTAGGTGAGGCGAGAACAAGGATGGCTGGTCATATCCTAGCGAGACTGCTAGAGAGAGGATGGATTACTCCAATTGAGTTTGATTACTACGATGATGAAACGGAGGTGCGTTGACTAAGTTTTCGCTTGAAGCACTGCTGTAGGCTCTGACTTATTATGACGAATACACAGAACTGGAAGGCTAAGCTGTATAAGCCACGGTTGAGAACACATGAAGCGTACCAGATATATATTGAAAAGGACCCGATGGTACGATATACTTAGCATGCTGCCTAAAATATTAGTGGATCGGGAAGCTAGAAAATTTTTCGATGCTCATATTTGGTTGTCGGTGAATGGTTCTGACTCTGCCATAGGTGACGCAGCTGAGCACGCGTGGATTCCGTTTTGGCGGCCAAGAACTCAGCCAAGTTTGCTTGTCGGTAGGTTCAATCTAGTCAAAAAATGTGGTGTGCGTTTGTGCTGATGTAAATTAATCGTTTGCGTAAAACTTTTTTAGAAGGAGCAAGATGACACTAATGTGCCCGTTTCGAAAACTTTATCAGTATGATCAGAATTTTGATTGCTCGGGAAAGTCTGATTCTGAATTTCGCACTCTGGTTCAGGTGGCAAATAACGATATGAAGTCGCGGTTACGCGAAAAGATGTGGCAAGATTGTTTTCCGACATGTTCGGATAGCGCTAAGCAAACTTTTCTATCATTCACACGGCCAGAAATAATCCTGTACGCCACACTCGGTCTAAACCTTATCAGCAATGGAATTAGTAGCGTGCCAGCCTTCTCACGCGAGCTTAAAAGCATGGGTGTAACTAGTGCAGATGATCGCTCTATCATAGTTGGATTCTTAGCCAAAGCATTTCCGACCGAGTAAATTAGCCAAATAAAAAATACATTTTTGTCGGCCGAGGCCTTACGAAAAGGAGACGCTGTAAAATACCGCAGACAGCAGCATATGTGATTGCATGATAAAAAAGCAACTTCGGTAGTCAGAACAAGTCCTCGCTGTCTCTATCTTGTCATCCTCGTTTGAATCGCTTTGTCGATTGCATCCTCCGCACCTTGCATCGATGTAGCTATTATAGTTTTTCGTTTGTACTATGGCGGAAACCGTTATCGCCGCTGTATTATCAACATGCTATTGCGTGTAGCCTGGACAAAAGATCAAATTACCTAAAAGAGTGAGTTGGCTGCAGTTAGCCGTCAAATTCAGATGAACTGCTCCACAAGGTCACACGTCTTTGGGTCGCTATAGCTATCTTTATTTGAGAATAGCAGCAAAATGAGTCTCCGAATTCCACTGCGCATACTACTTTGGCAGGTTGAAGTACTTCAGTTGCAACAGCGCTATCGCGGGCTGAGCCGAGACACACTGTAAGAGAGCTAATTTATGCATAAAAGAGTCAAGTACATCATCGCAACAGTGCGTGGAATGGTACAGGATTATCGTACGAACTGCCTCTAAATGGTCAAGACTTCTATACCGGAAGTTGGCACGTGGTGGAGAGACATTTTATTTGTCATTAGACCGACAATCATTTACGTGAATATGTTCGATTAATGTATTACTTCTGCGTTCACGGAAAATTCTCAAATAACTAAGAGTGGGGTTGCCATGCACATGCTTGATTCTAAGAGTACACGTTAGTATCGCACGTAAGTTGGGGTCGTGCACCTCATTCCGTTAAAAGATATTTAGTTATGCAACGGGGTTTCCGTGCACTTTGCACTGAAGAAGCTTTGACTCTCAGAGTTTGCATAAACAAACACAGAGATTCGAAATCGAGAGCAACAAACTCTGTTTGCTCTGGACCGGGAGGTTTTCGATCCCCGGAGCCGGGTAGACTCGGGTTAGAGTGTAATGAAAAACCCTATAGCAC